AATTCTCAGTAAATTCCAAGTAAATTCTCAATATATTCTCAGTAAATTCTAAGTAAATTACTCCATAAATTGTTCTGTAAATTCACAGTAAATTACTATGTAATTACTCAACAAATTACTCATTACATTACTCTATAAATTACTCAGTAAGTTCTCTGTAAATTATTTAGTAAATTTCCAGTAATTTATCAGTAAATTACTCAGTAAATTCTCCATAAATTACTCAGTTTATCAATGGAGTGTGTTATTATATGCATTGTTATTCAAATTCTGTGTGTGTACCTTGTACTGAGCCTAATCTTTCGTTTAGTGTGTAATTGTGCTTGGGCTTATTATACCCAACAAGAACATACTAAATAAATAAATTAATAATTTTTTTTTGGCCCTTGATAACCCTGTACTTGTTTTGAGTTAGATTGGTCATGCTATCATGACTGAAAAGCTATTTTGATTAGCATGTTGTCTCTCGTTAATGGCCCAATACTGTACAATATCAGCCGCTAACACGTTGGATTTAGCATCTCAAATTTGTTAACAGTGAGTTTGTCTATGAATTGGGATGTAATAAGAGTGTATCAAAATTGGGGGCAATTATTTTGAAGTTTTGTTTATGATGGTGCAATTTTCAAATATAGTTAAATTTTCTTGTCAAACCAAAGAATGGTCTTAAGGGATGAGATGTTAGATACATCTAAAAAATATCTAGGTGTGCAAGTCTGATTAGAAATATAGGTAAAGGTTTGGTTGGATCATGCCTGCGAATCCAATTATGTGATTGGATAAAGGTAAGTAAAAGAACCTATTGTTAGCCGTGAACTATTCTTCTACCATCTTGCTTTCATAATGGGCTGCATATTGGATTATTTTTCTTTTCGAAGAGAGAGAAGATCAATAAGGGGTCTGTTTTCTGACGTGTACACAGTTGAGATGCTCAACCTGTTTTCAACTGGATGGCACATCTTATTTTTAACGCTTCTTTTAACTTAAATAGCACACCAATCTTGCATATGGGAGCTCCACTACAGGGTCATTTCCAGAGGTTTTTCATGTTCGATTCTCACGGGGCGCAAAACACTTGGGCTTAACTGATACATCTAGTTTGCGGGTGATTGCGTGTAGCCAAAGTTTATTCATGAGGCCTTCTACTGGATGACAGGGTCGGTCAGCTGGAGTTCTCTGAAGAAATAAAAAAAAAAGAAAAAGATATTTTACCCATTGCATACACTTTCTTTTTTGGTAAGTTTGTCTGTAGCATGCTCTTGATGAGGATTTAAATTTTCATTCATGTTGACATATTTTAATCAATTTCAAAATTTTGACAATTATGCTAAACCTAATATTTAGTGAAATGAACAGAGTGGGAGCATTGAGAACTAGGCCTACAAAAGAGGACTTATGCTAGACCATTTCAATGCACAACTACACATCGCATGAAATTTTTAAATGAATTGATCTTCCGTTTCCATATTGTCCTAAGGTGTAATGGTAATGTAATCATTATATAAGTGCACAGAAAATTTGCATGCTTTTGAGTTGATTCGGATTGCAGGAATGTCTGATTGACTGCTAGGTTAAATCTGTTCTAATTCTTCGATAAGAATTGCATAGCAAAATGGAATTTGAATAGGATCTTCTTTGCTTTTTGTACCTAAAAACACTTCCTAATAGTTTCATGCTAACAGGGACGTGCATTTTTAGGTTTACTGATATTAACCTAAGTTTGTTATTTTAGGGGAGATTTCTCAAATAAGGAACTAGGGAGTGTCCTCTTTGTCTACCCCCAAAAGAAAAAAGATCATTTTATGTACTAAGAACAACTAGGCCTCATGCCAAGATTACCTTAGGGATCACACCTAGGACCTCTTTTACTATCACACCAAAGAATAAGATTGTATCAAACAACTAGCTTGAAAGCTACTGGGAAATTTTGTATTCTCATTCATTCGTCATGCTTCAAATTCTTGATGTTACATCTATTTATAGACTTCACAAAGCATGTGTTTGGTGCAGAAGTCTATTCCTATTTCCTAGAGGTATAGGCGGAATGAATTTGTTGTAATGAAATGAACCTATTAATGGTTGCATACATTGAATAAAAACATGTGGTTAAATATTTCTAAATGTTGCTTCATTTAACTAGGAGGCCCACAATGCCATATATGTTCCAACTCATGTTTAGTCAAATATCCCAAGTAGGTCCCTGGTCATCCAACATATGCTAAATCAAGTCTCGTGCCCTAGAACCATCCTGTCCACGCCTTTTATATACTTTTAGTGGTGGCTGGCATTTGCCATCAATTAATGATTAAATAGGGTAGTATCTAGTGATAGAATGTTTGTTGATCATAGCAATAACGTATGCCCCCATATGTTGACTGACCCTTTGGTGGCTACCCAATCAAGTTATTTAACTTCGTATTGTTTGAGCTCACACTGTTAAAGTTTTATATTTTTGTTTCAAGTTTTAGTCAGTGAATGAAAATATTCACTGTTATTGTAATATGGAGTTATGATTATTGGCTTTTGGATTTGTTGCAAGTATGTTGCTAATTGTTGATATATGTTGGGAAGAATTTGCATCAGTTGATTTATACTGTTCCTTTTTTTTTTTTTTTGGTGCAGGTATGTTTTGTATCTTTCAACTTTGTGTGATGATGCCATTCAAGGAAAAAAATCACTGCATGCTGCTGTAAATGCTATTTTTTCAGTTCCTATTTCTGGAACACCTGAAAATAGCAACACAGATGAAAGTGAGAATGCAGAAGTGAAGCCCACTTTACTTTGGAGTGCTCTATATATACAGGAAATGGCTACGGTTAGTTTTTATCTTTTGTCCCTTTCCTTTTCCTGCTGTTTGTTGATTTTTTGGGGTGCTATGTATTTGAGTCTTTTATTTGAGAATTGGAGGTTTTATTGAGCTGCCACAAGCATGTCAAGTCTTCTGGTTGCCTGTGCACTCTGGTCAATTAGCCCAGCAGGAAGTGGTTTTATTCTGATGGTTGTAACAATCCAAGATTACTCGAGTTCCAGAATGCTTTCTGGGGGACAGGCAGATCCTTGGGTATTTAGGTTAAGGAGTAATGAGGAGGGATTAACATGAAAATTGGATATAGAAAAGGCACAGGAATATATCTATTCAGTAGAACTCAATTAGTCTTAATCCCATTCTGTAGTCCCCTCAAAAATTTTTTGTACAATGAGAATTTCAATAATTTATTTTTGGGAGATAGTTGGATACCTTGTGAGGAGCAGGATATGGTAGGAGAGTGAATGGGGATGGTTACGGAAAGAGAATAGGAAAAGATATGATAGGGTGAGTTAAAGTTCACATGTGGTGCACATGGACCTTTCTATTATTACCATATTTTCTTACAATCTGAAATATTGAACTGATGAAAGTGAAGTTATGTATGTAAGTCCTTGGTTTGACATCTTTGAGCTTGAGAATGGCATTTTGATAGTTGCCTTTGTTGATTCCAGTGTTCATTTGATTCCATTTTCTCAACCCCTATGCCAGATGGGAATCTAAACTACAATGATCTTCTAGATGCAACTAAGAAGGTATTGTCTTTCCAGCTTTGCATAATTTTTGAGAAGGATTTTCTTTTTTCTTTTTGACCACACATGGTCTTTATCTCTGCTCAATCCCATGGAATTTGTTTTGCTCTTATATATATATATATATATAAAATTATGTGGGACATTTTTAATTGAGATTTGGTGCTTTTGCTGTGTGGCAGCTATTTCATATGATGTTTCCACATCATGAATTCTTTCCCGAGACAGCCTTCACTGATCCAGAAGATGATGGTCGGTTTGATCAGAGTCCTAGTGATGATTCACTGAACTCTTAACAGTCTGACTGGGCGATCAAGTCACATTGTTAGGTTTTACTTACCCACACTGATTGGCTTGAGAATTTGAAGGTGCTTGAATCAGCAGTCCTTTGTGCATCGAGTGGACAAGATTGATGCATAGAAACAACAATTTTTGTCTCTTGAACTGTTTTCTTTGAGCATTCATCATTCCAATTCAGCACCATGAAGCAGAAACAGAAGGATTGAGCCAATATCTTTTAGTTTAGTTGGATGTTACACTCGTGGGCATGTACCATATGTGTCTTATTATCTTTATACTCGCTCTGTGAAATATTTCATTGAAGAACAAATACATATTTTAACATTATTCAAGTTATACAGCTTAAGCCTACAAATGAACTTGAACATTGCCTTTTTGTAGGATTGGATTTTCCCTTTCTAATTGATCATTTGACCTGTTTGGTAGAGCTTAAGCTAAACTCTGATAATCATAAACAGAAGTTAATAGTACTTCTTCTTCAGCTTCTAAGTAATTTTTTTCTTTTAGATTGTTTAAGTTATTTTTGCGTAATAAATTACAAGTAGAAGTTATACTAAATAGTCTGGTACAGATTCTCAAAATTTCGAAGACAATTTTTAAACAAATGTACTATGTATTTTTCTTTTGTTTTTATCAAAATAAGTATATATATATATATATATATATATATAATATTTTCTTTATAAATAAAAATAATAAATTGTAAACGTTATCAAATATGACCTTATATTTCAAGTAAAAATGATTTATAAACAAAAATATTTTAAAAAAAATGAAATAAAAGTGTTTTAAACTTTATTTAAATGAAACATTAAATTGAAATTTTATTTGACATCGACTACTAAGTCAACTTATTGATTAAAAAAATTCATTCCACTAATTTTTTTTAAGGCCTTTTGGCAGATTCATTTTTTCACTAGAAGTCCATTTTAGTTACTCTGAGAAGAATAAGATCAAAAAGTTGAAAAAATATGTTTTTTGTAAGCATTAATTTTTGTTTTTTTTTATCAGCTAGGCAACAAAAATTTTATTTTTTATTTTTAGATAAAGGGCAAACTATTATGCTTCAATACAAGAATGAAAAGTAAGATTTATACCAATTTTATGTTTTCTGTTCTGACTGACTATTTTCTTCTTTTCTGCAAAAGAGTTGATGTTCTCCTCCACGGCTTCATTGCGAGGTCATTCCCTCAAAGCTCTCTTGGTTTGTTAATCCTTGAATTTCTAAAAATCACATTCTTCATTTGGCTTATCATTAATTTAGAACTCAATTTCATATTGGTTTATGAGGAGATTCGTTTGGTAATATCATTTTTTAGTTTAAAAGTCAAAAAGCTACTAAAAAAAAATCAAAAAGCTAACAACTTATACTAAAAAGTAAAAGATTTTTTTTTCTCTCTACTTTTTGCACATCTTTTCGTAAAAAATAAAAAAAGTCATTCCAAATATACTAATTTTTTTATATCATATTTTAGTCAAAAAATTTAAAAATTATTAAAAAAATATGTTCCCAAACAAGGCGGTCATTTTGATTTTGTTTTTTTGTTTTTGCAGAAGTGGAGAGTGGGTGCGTGCGTGCGTATGAAGAAATTGGGTCATACAGTTGTCACGTTGGGGAAATCTCTGACTCTGCATATATGTGCTTGACAGCTGATCATCCCCTAATTTGGATCTCAATTTCCAGGTACCCAATTGCTAATTTTTGTTGTTTATTTACAATTATTTTTCTGGTTTATGATAATATTTTTTTAGTCTCAAGGTACCCAATTTCTTTGTTTATATGCCTGATATCTTGATAAGGCTTCTGTATTTTTTGCCAAATTAGATATGTAGAGAGATTATAGAACTGTAGTGTTAGTGTACTTGTGGGAGTGAGTGTGTGTGTGGGAGAGAGAATTTTATAAATAATGTGTTCTTAATAACTTAATATGATATTGAGAGCTAAATTAACCCACATTCTATTTTTTTTTTATTTTTTTTATTTCTAGTTTATTTATGCTAATTCATTCATGATTTAGGGAAACAATAATTAGAAAGGGACACCAATTGACAATAAAATGAGGGACAACCATATGACCATGTGCAATGTAGAATGATTAACACCGGAGAAAATGGCTAGGACTTCTAATAAGAGTCAACCGGAGGAAATGGATCTATGTAGACAATCCCAAGAAAAAAGGCTGTTTTTGGTTAAGTAGAGTTGTTTAGATTTTTATTTATTGTAATTTTAGAATAATCTTGTGCTCCATTTGGTTTTGAAAAGAATGTGGAAGCGAAGGGAATGTTAGTTTTGTATCTTATGCTGAATGCTATTTGGTTTCGTAATATGGAAACTTAACTCCAACTTAATCAAATGGTTGTATTGGGCTTAATTGAGTTAAATACGTTTTGTTGTTCCTCACAACTAGTAAAATCTTTAAGTTTGAAAATTTGAAGTTTATTTCTTTTCGTATATTCTCAGAAATCACTTATAGCCATTGTTATAGTCTACGAAGTGCTGAAAGAAAGAACTTAAGGTCTGTTTGGATGGTTTTGTATTTCAAACCTAGAGACTTGACCTTGATCATTCAAAGACAATAACTCAAATTTAGATATAATAATTTACTTATGAATTTGAAGATTATGTTAAATAACATTATCATGATAAATTTAAAATAAATACATAAAAGTAGTTATTTGAAATCAAATTAAGGATTCTCTTTCTAGTTACCATGATCGTAACACAATATATATCTTCTATGTCAACCTATCTTCTTCCATTGTTTTGTTTTTTATCCATCTAACTTCCACATCTATCCACACGGAGCCTTAGTAATAATTGGCTAAAAAAAGCAGCATAAGTAAATTTCAATAAGAGCGACAATAACACGAAACTATATATTATTTTTGTCTTAGAGAGTCCATCTCTTAGCTCTCCAATCCAACTGAATCAGATCAGACCTGTGTGTGCACGCAAATCAAGATGATCGCAGCATTGCATTCCTTAATTGGGTTTAGGTATCTAATTTCATGGACATGGGATACTGTTGTAACTCCAAGTCACAGCATTTTATTCTGAGTTTTCGTCGAGGCCCATTCCGAGGTTTTTTTTATTTTTTTTTATTTTTATAATTCAAATAGTTTATGTTATAGGGTTCGTTGAGCATATCATTTATGTAAAAAAATCAAATTAATCAAACATTTGTAGGCCTATGATCGGGTCTTAATTATTTTTAAAAATTATAAAAAATAATGTTACCCGTTTATTTTTTAAAAAATAAATGTGCTCTTATTATAGAGATTTTGATTTTCAATCAATTTAATTTTTTATATGAATAATTTACTTAATAAATTTTATAATATGAACTGTTCGAATCATAAAATAAAAAAAATAAAAAAATCGGAATGGGCATCCACCAAACTCACAGCAGCCTGTTGTGACTTGGACAATAACATCCCCTTTCCTAATTTCATTGACCTACGGTGCGTTCTCATATAAACCTCATGTATCGGGCCAGATGGTATTTTTCTCAAGAAGTTATTGGTTGATCATAGGATATTACTACGTGGTATTCCAACAATATTGTGATTGGTGGAAGAGGCACGTGGCAGTGCCCAAGAGTACCAAATAATTTTTCCCACCACCTGACACTGGTAGCTTGAGGATTGGTACACGCAAACTGAGACAATTAAGGGTGCGTTTGTTTGGACGGACTGGATAAGGGGGGATTGTAATCCATCGGATTATTAGTCCTGGGATACATTGTCCCGGAACTATTTGGTTGGACTAAATTTGCATTCTATATTTATTTAGTCATGTGATTAGATGTCTGGATTAGACTATTTTTAGTTATTTAATATTTGTTTGGGATATTATGGAAAAGGATAAATGCTCAAATGACTATTTTATCCTTTTCAATTATTTACTAAGTAATAGCAATATTAAACATACCTTTAATATTTTAATTATTTTTAGCTAGATTAAATAAAAATTTATTTTATTTTATTTTTTGCACAATATTTTAATTATTTTAATTTATTATTTTCAATTAAATTAAATTTATAATTTATACTTTATATTTTTTATTTAATATATAATTTTAAATTAACGACAATAAAAAATAATTTTATTTAATATATAAATTAAATTTTCAACAACACAAAAAAAATTTAATTTATAAGGCCATAATTTATAATTTATTATTTTTAAATAAATTTAATTTATAATTTATAATTTTTATTTAATATATAATTTTAAATTAACAACACTAAAAAAATAATTTAATTTAATATGTAAATTTAATTTTTTAACAATACTAAAAAAATTAATTTATAAGGCCATAATTTATAATTTATTATTTTTAATTAAATTTAATTTATAATATAAATTTTTTATTTAATATATAATTTTAAATTAACAACGCTAAAAAAATAAATGTTCAAAAGACTATTTTATCATTTTCTAATTGTTTTCTAAGTAATAGTATGGAGGGTAAAATGGATATTTCACAAAATAATCCCATGAAATACCAATCCCATGATTTCTATCCCACCTCCCTCCATGGGATAGGATAGTTTTATATTTGTGGGACTAATAGTCCGGCGGGACTATTAGTCCGGAGTAAAAAAAATGAAATAAATAATGGACTATTAGTCCGGTGGGACTAATAATCCAATCCCACCCCCTAATCTTTCAAAACAAACACACCCTAAGTGTATTGAAAAATAATTGACAGAGGTCTAAACCAGAAAGATAGACAATCTCTAAAAACTTTAGTATAAATAATCTAAGAACTTTATTATAAATAATATGAATTTATTATACCTCCATTCCATTAAGAAAATTTTTAATTTTTCCCGGTCTTTACCATCTGTATGTATATTATTGATTGAATGAATGAAAAACATAAGCTTGTAGAAAAATAATTCTAAATAAATTAGAAAACTTAAATCAATATAAATTAGAAAACTTAAATCAATATATATTAGAAATCTAAACTATTTAAAATTCTATGCAAATTTAATTCTAAAATTATAAAAAATAAAAAGGGATAATTATAAAAAAAAAATCCAAAGTTTAACCCTTGTAATAAAATAAATTTTTAATTTTAATTTTATCAATTTAAAACTTTTGATTTATTTTTAACTTAAATTATTTGTCTATTTTCGTTAAGTAAAATTGATAAAAAAAAAAATTACATTTTAGTCATTGAATTGATATTTTAGACATTTTATGTATACCTACATTGAATTTAATGACTAAAATATTGTTTTTCAATCGGTTTTTACTTAATGAAAAAAAGTGAATGGTTTAAATTAAAAATATATCAAAATATTAGCATTTAAATTGACAAAATTAAAAACTCATGATTTATTTTGTTAAAAGAAACCTCAGAGTTTTTTTATTATTATTATTTATAATTGTCCCAA